ATACCAACTGCAAGTTACACGCCTACCCTGCGATACATTTATGTTCAAATCCAGGAACGGCAAATTCCCCTCCGAATTAGTTTTCTCTAGAGTGAACTGCAAAATTGGATGAAGAGAATTGGCTGCATCGAGAAGACAACTCGGCTCCCCTCTGACTGTTCTAACAATGTCAACCACATACCTGAGGAACAATTTCACCTGGGGAGTATCCTTCACCTTGTTCTTAGCTTGGCAGCAGCTTTCACAGTACCAGACTATCTCGGTTATCGATTCGTATACGTCATCGGATATTTTTCCGCATTTTAGATGATACCAGTTTCAGCAACTCTCGCATTAAACCCCCTTTGATCTATATGTGACTTTCCTGCTGCAACATGGGCACAAGCCGTTTCTGTCATTAATTTGCTGTACCCCCGTTCCCACCGGTATTTGTTGTCGTAGAGCAAATTCGTATTCTTTCAGCCATAAGTTTGCCAAAATTACAGCGAGGGACGCGCCCATTGCTAAACCATCAACTTGTACATACCATGAATCATTACACTTGAAATATACTTTGCTGACCGCCATATCCAAAAGCCTTTTCATGGTTGCTCTCTGAATTTCAGGAGGAGACTCCTGGCTGTACAGCTTCTGTAAAGCAATTTCAATTGCCTCCTTCAGGGGAACGTTGGTGTACAAACTTTTCACATCAAGAGATTTTATGGTTTCATCCGGATCTAGAGCAATGTTTTCTATTTTTTCTCTAGCCTCTTTAGTATTGGTTTCTATATTTGCTCCATCGATGTTGTCAAAAAACTTTGCAAGCTTTTTGTTAAGATTCTCATACGAGCTGCCGGGAAGTGATAGTACAGTTCGTAGGGATGTCTCATCCTTGTGTACCTTAGCTAAACCGTACAAACGGGCGGGTTGCCCCCCTGTTGATCTCATCTTAGAATATAAATGATCACTTATCTCGTCTCTTTTGTTCATGGCTAGTAATTCTTTGTTAAGTTCCTTCTCAATTTTCAGTATCACCTCATCAGTGGTTGCATCTTTTTTCACAAACTGAGCAACAAGGATTCCAGCTTTGATTCATATGTTTGAAAGAAAAAACTAAAATTTTTTTTTTTTAAAACACCACGAGGTGTACTTGTAAATTCAATAGTTGTAAATACAGCAAAAGGTTAAAAAGCAGTTGGCTTATAGCCCGTTGAGTTAACTTCTAAAGCTTCCAGTAAGCAGGCAGCATTACCGCGTTGCAGTGCAATGCCGAGTCTTTGTTTGAGGAACGTGAATGACCTTTTCTCACCAGTGGTCGTCTTGATTCTATAGGAAATAGAGGATAGAGTTTTGTATGTCGAGCTTCCGATGCCACCAAGATGTTCCACGGCGATGGGCTCGAACATGCAGTTGCGTGGCAGACCAGAATAGTGTTGGCGCTTACGAAATTCAGCATGGTTAGCAACAGTGGGACCATCTTCGAGGCCTGTTGATAGATTTGACTGTGCTTGTCGGTTTACACAGGTAAAGTCCCAGACTAAAACTGCGCCATTTTTCCATGGAACTAAAGTAGCACCGTCTGGTCTTTTACCATCGTCACGCAGCATACCGGTCGGCTCGAGTTTGCTGTGTACTCCTGCTGATTTCAACGCGTCTCTGATGACTTCATTACCAAGTTGATGCCTGATGAAACGACTTTTGATTTTCGGGCATATAAGTGGATGAATGCCTTGGCTGTCGCATTTAGTGCCACATGCACAGTTGCATGAAAAAAGAAGGGGGCACCAAGGCGAAGTCCCGTAGCAATTCTGAAAGCGTCATCAGTCAGCTGGAGACCGAGCGTATCAGACGGAATAGCAGCAAGCCAGTCTCCGGAACCGGGAACAGAGCATCCTTGTAAACGAACTTTGTCACTGTCACAGGTGGTGTTAGCTAGGAGAGACGACCGCCTACGAGAAACAATCGGAGTGTACCAGCTTTTCTGCCACTTTTGCTTGTCTTCCAGTGGCATATCAGGAGAAACAGTTTCAGACCACAGTTCAATGGCATTCTTGAAGGACTTGCTGGTGTATTGAGACGCAATGACTTTGAAGACGTCTTCACTGGTGGCGAGTGTAGACGAAATATAGGCAGCCAAAGTAAGGTCCGAAAGTGACTGTAAGCCTAGACCACCGAGTTTGATAGGCAATGTGAGCTGATCCCATTCTCTGTTGGTAATCAGAATGTTACTGACAGTTTGAACAGCTCCACGGATATAAGAGGTGATTTTTTCAACAGAGTTCATAAAAACAAAAGTAGGAGCAGTGCGGAACAAATACATGAGCTTAGGCATGGCAAAACAATGTCGGAGCAGGAAAAACGCGACGTGTGAAGGCAGTAACGGAAGATTCTTGCTGAGGTTTTCGATTTTCTCTCTCTTCTCTTCCAATGCATGCTGTAAAGCTGTATGGCCCAGAGGGCTTCCTAGCAGTTCAGCGTCTTCGGTGCTCACGCTGCTGATACCAGGACAGACACGTCTGAATTCACGTAAAATCATATCGCTCTTTTGCTGGTCTTGAGTGAAGACAGTGATTTCACATTTGGTGTTATTGAGGTTTAACCCGAGACCTTTGGCACTGTCAATGAACTTGGCGAGGTCACGCAAAACTATCTGCCACTTGTCTCCAGCACTGATGTCGTCCATGTAACCGACCTTGAACTTGGATGAGATTGCAGTGAGACAGCGATGCACTCCGAGACAGAAACCAAAAGACGCAATTGGGTCCCCCTGTTGGAAACCTTCTCTCGATAGCAAAGTGTGGTCACCATAAACAAGGAAACTCTCCCGCTCGTAGCACATGTTGAAAAAAGGCAAAAGCTCAGGGCAAAACTCTTCGAAAGCAAAAGCAATACTGTCACGACGCATGGTGTTGAAAGCATTGCTGAAATCCAACTTGAGGAAAACGTCATCGTCTGAAGCTAACTCGAAGAAGGAGCGAGCAGCATGGACCGCAACTTCGGCACCATTTTTCGCACCAGCACCAAGTTGAAAGGGACTGAAAAACTCCTTGAACCTCGCTGTTTCGTACTGACCAGCACATTTACCTGCAATCCTGCGCCAGACTTCTCCCACAGCAATGGGCCTCAGGTCATCTACTTTTCCTTTTTTGGCAAGCGTCGTCAAGTTGGCTGCCGCAAAAACTGGTCTAATGAAATCTGGGGCTTTGCCAGCAAGCATCAAATTGACAAAATCCGTAAGAGTGTCCAGGAACGTGTTGCCTGCGTCGATGGAATGTGAAGAAAGGGCGTCTTTGATATGTTGCGGTCGGACACCACGGGGTCCACCTGCTGAGCCATTGGGGAAACTCTGGATAGCGCTGTGAACTGCAGAACTAGTCACTTGCAGGGGTTCATACTGGTGGCACTGTGGGAATGACTGTCTGTCCAGTGCAGGAGGAGGATGCTTTTTCTCCAGGATTTTGACACTTTTGTCACTTGGGGGGACAACAGACTTATCCGGGGAAGCTATTCTAACGGCAGCTTTGATGTTCCCCTCATTAATCTTTTCACAAACAAGCCTTGCAAGTTTTTCTGCATCTGTGTTTTTCCCTGCAGAAGGACTACGGTGGGCCGGCTCAGGAATAATGAGGGTATCTGCTACGCTAAAAGCATCGATTTGTCGCTTTATCAATGTTGTTAAACTGGTCTTCTTAGCACACCCGGCGCGTGCGGGAGCTTTCAGGCATCTGTACGCAGCCGTGAAAAGTTGAACCCACGCCATTTTATTGTCAGGGTCGTTGAGGATATCTCGCAAAACCTTGTTAAGAGTTTGTGCAAAAAGAAACCTTGCAGCTTTTGGCACATACTTGACAGTTTTGCACTGGAAAGCTCTCACCGCTTTGATGAAATCCTGAGAAGTGAAAGAGTGGGGGTCTGTAGCAGTTGCACTGTGTTCACGTTCTTCAGATGGGGATTTGTTGGAATACGGGCACCGACTTCCCACTGGTCCATGGACGCGTAGAGAACCATTCTTCTGAACCACAATAGACGTGCTACATCCAGGACAGTTTATGCGTTTGGTGTCTTTGCGTCGGCAGTTTGGGCAGCTATAGTTGTATAAGCTGGCATTCTCTATTGGTAGCCCATCACAGATCGAGTGAGACCAGGAGTTGCATTCGTCACACTGTACCCAGTCTCGAGATTGATCACCGCTTGCTTGGCACGGTCTGTGTGAGCAGGACGTATCCGCATCGTCAGTCTGGGGGCTACCACGGTTGCCCCTCCTGCTTCTACGCATTTCTCCTGAAGCTATTTAATAAGTTTATCACAACAATTAGGCTAAAAACTAAAAACACGGCTATAATAAAATAGGGTATTCTAGCCGTGTTTTTAGTAGCAATCACGTAGTCTGAGGATCCGAGACTCAGCTATGTGGTTGTGTTCGCATGTAAACGAAAGCTGATCAAAAGTCGTTTGACTGATGGCCTAAAATTAGTAACTTTTTACTTAGCCCTAAACAGACCAGAAAATCAACTGGCAAGGTCGAGACGGTGAAAAACGAGTGGAATTAAGGTAACTGACGCCTGCCAGTCGTTAATAGGTACTTTTTCCACGCTCCGTCGCTGTGTAGTATTTGGGCGAATGTTACAACAATTTTTTTTCTCTCAAATAGTTTTTTTGATTGAAGTATTTTGTTTCTATTTCTGCTAGATTGCTCTGTTTTTTTTCTGATGTATGAAAATAAGTTGCTTGTTTTGTGATTTGTGAAACAGTTAAACATCGTCTGATCAACTATTTACTTCACTAATCTAAGTGAGTGTTCACTAACCTAGAAAAGCTATTGCAGATGATCTAGACTTGCTGGTAAGAGCTTGAATAAAACTGTCGATACTTGCATAGTGGATAGTTGTGGTCATTTGTTTGGTCAATTCTTGAGTTATTGTTGTCCAAAACAATCTTGAATATTGGGAAATTTAGAAAGAAAAAACCTAATTTGTTGCGTTCAATTTTGTCCTTAGGTGTGGTAGAAGCGCAAGATTTTTTAGTTAACTTATTTCAGATTGATTTAGATTAAACATGCGACTTTCTTCAGCAGGTATTCTTTAGCTATTTTTGAAATACCGAAGATTTAATTGTAAAGCTACAAACCAAAAGTGCTTTGATTGTTTGTAGAGGGGATCATTTCGCTTCTGGATGACCATGAAGCTGACGTTCGCGTGAGTTAATCAGAAAAAAACGACGAATAATAGCTAAATAGATTCAATTCATGCTTGGTAGTTGTTCAGGTATTTGCGCTCAAACGACTTGACGATCTGTCGAACATTTTCTGGGTAGAAATAGCTGATTCAATTGAAAAAATGTAGGCGTGTTTGAAATAAATAATTTCAATCTCAATGGAAACCAATTACCTGTTGTCTATTGTAGCGAGAGAATATACGATGACGAAAGTTTCCCTGAGCGTCAATTGGCCGCACTTGTTGCTTCAAAGGTTAGTTTTTTTTATAAATTGACTGCAACGGACGTTGAGTTCAAGAAAAAGACATGAAACATGTTCTCGCAAACAACAATTATCAGTGCATAATTAATTGAAACCTCTTCTGCTAGGTCTTTTACAATATTGAGGCATACGAAGAAGCTGTTAGTTATGCACTAGCAGCAGGGAAGCTTTTCGACATTGAGTCATCGTCCTTGTATGTGGAGACAATAATTTCAAAGTGCATCGATGAGTACGTAGCAATTCAAAGCCACAACCTAACTGTGAAAGAGCCATCTGAGCGAAGATCAATCGACAGTCGTTTGGAACACATAGTTCATCGAATGTTCGAAAAGTGTACACAGAATGAGCAGTACAAACAGGTAAATGTGTAGCTTTTTAAAAGCTAGACGTTCGAATTTTTTAAAATGGTCCCAAAACCCATGCTAACATTTTGCAGCTTATCGGAATGTCCTTGGAGTCTCGCAGACTGGATGTGTTCAGTCGAACTGTGCGTGAAGTGAGGCAGAAGCAGCAACTTAATAAAATACCGTCTGGCGTGACCTCACTTGATCTCCTATCATATGCCATGTCCATCTGTCTGAAGTTCATGCACAACAGACAATGGCGCGACATGGTACGTTTCAGATATTTGAATTCCTCTTGCGATCAGAAAGAGAAACTTAAGCAGTCACTAGACTTTTCCGGTCAGACGCGTTGATAATGGAAGAATTCTTGGTTCTCTCTTCTTTACTCTATTACAATGGCATTAAACTAACATTTCTAAGATAAATTAGGTCATTATCGGCATACTCCTTTAAACTTTTGGAAGCAAATGTATTACAATTGTTTGCTATACTTTTTTGTTTACACAAGCAAGTGTTGTAGTATGAACTTTCTTTTTTTCCAACCTAAGTCGCAAATAATGGTGCCACCTTTTTCTGCATCGCGTTGGTAATTTATTAGCATTTGTAGCTGCTCTATATTATTATTATTGTTATTATTATCTATATCTACCTATCTATCTATACTATATTTAAATGCTAGTGACAGCTATCTCCCATGTTTAAGCATAATAATTTTGCATGTTTAACGAAAGAATTTTTTCATCTTTAAGCTATGTCATATATTGCAATGCTTAAGAATTTTTTTTAATTGGTTTTCAGCTAGGTCATTAATTTTCAGTAATTTTTTTTTTCGAGGCCACATTAAGTCTGTCTGTATAACTGCTTTTTTATTTAATTTGATTGTCTGTCTACCCGTCTACTAACTTTTTTTACTTTCAATTTGGTTTCGACGATTCAGTTTAAAATAATACTACTGTTCAACGGTTTTCTCTAATCTTTTTTTCTCTTTATCTGGCTCCAACCTTGCCTCCAATTATAACTGCTCAATTTTTTGTAGTTTTCTAGATATGACATTTTTTGTGATTTTAAAATATTAATTTTTTTTTGAAATTCTTTACCCTGTATCTGGTTGATGTCGGGGTACTCTCAGGAGTTGCGAATCTTGCCTCCAAATATGACTGCTCAAATCCTTTTAGCTTTCGAGATATGACGTTTTTTGTGATTTTTCAAAATAAAATTTCAAAAAAAATTAAATCCATTTTTCTTCAAAATATGAAAAATCGCAACCCTGTAGTTGGGCGCTATCAGAGTATTTTCAGGGGGTTGCGAACCTTGCCTCCAATTATGACTGCTCAAGTTGCTGTAGTTTTCGAGATATGACGTTTTTTGTGATTTTTTCAAAACAATTTTAAAATATTTAAAATTATTTTTTTTTTCAGAATTTGAAGTTCTTTACCCTGTATCTGGGTGCTGTCATGGTACTCTCAGAAGTTGGGAATCTTGCTCCAAATCTGACTGCTCAAATTCTTTTGTTTTTCGAGATTTGACGTTTTTTTGTGATTTTTCAAAAAAGTTTTCAAAAAAAGTTAAAATAATTTTTTTCTTCAAAATTTGAAAATTTGCAACCCTGTAGTTGGGGGCTATCAGAGTACTTTCAGGGGTTGCGAATCTTGCCTCCAATTTTGACTGCTCAAGTTGGTGTAGTTTTCGAGATATGACGTTTTGTGATTTTTTCAAAACAATTTTCAAAAACAAATTAATTTTTTTTTCAAAATTTTAAATTCTTGAAGCTGTAGTTGGGTGCTGTCAGGGTAATCTCAGGAGTTGCAAATCTTGACTTCAAATATTACTGCTCAATTGCTTTTAGTTTTGTCGTATGACGTTTTTTGTGATGTTTTCAAAAAGTTTTCAGAAAACCCAAACAAACTTTAAAAAAAAAAAATTAAATTCCCAACCCTGTAGTTGGATGCTTTTGGGGTACTCCCAGGGGTTGCGAATCTTGCCTCCAAATATGACTGCTCAAATTCTTGTAGTTTTTAAGATATGACGTTTTTTGTGATTTTTCAAAAAAGTTTCAGAAAACCCAAATAATTTTTTTTTTCAGAATTTGAAATTCGCAACCCTGTTTTTGTGGGGACTATTAGAGTACTCTCGCGGTTTGCGAACCTTGCATCTAATTATGACTGCTCAAAATTTTGTGTTTTTTGAAGTTTTCGAGATATGACTGAGTTTTATGAAAAATTTCGAAAAAATGTTTTTTAATTTGAAATTTCTTATCGTGTAGTTTGGTGCTGTCAGGGTACTTCCAGGAGTTGTAAATCTTGCCTCCAAATATGACTACCCAAATACTTGTACTTTTCGAGATTTGACGTTTTCGTGATGACGAAAAAAAGGAATTAAAAAAATTATCAAATATGAAATTACCAACCATGTAATTGGGTGCTTTCAGAGTTCACTAAAAGCCAGCAGATCTGGTTTCCAGATCATGTTTCCAGTTTTTCATGTTGTCAAAAATTCGAAGCACCGAAGGTGCGTTACACTCTAGTTATTATTAAAGCTTCGCGGTAGAACCGCACGGAGTGATTCCAAAACAAAAGAGTTAATTTAGAGTATCACGGCATCCAGAGCACATGCAGGCAAACCTCCATGTGCACAGTCTATCGACATCGAAGAAGTTGTTGAAATACTGCCAAAAGAAGTGTAAAAGTCTTCCTTTCAAACCATTGCGTGAGACGTCAATTTTCTTACTGATGATATTCAGGAGTCTCGGTGTGCGATACCAGAAATTTCCACGACTAACTTCGAGGTTAAGAATGGGTAAACTGAATACTTGTAATGAGGAATTTCTTGTGTTGTAACTTGGTTGATTGAAAGACAGAAACCTTCTCCAGTCGAAGTTGTATTTGTTTTCCATTATTTTAGAAAGCGTTAAGACGTCATGTATCTGCATATTCATCGATATCGTCGCAAGAGTCTTGAGTCGGGTTTTGTAGCTTGTATCAGGATAGCCAAGTATCCAATCTGCCGCTCTGCGTTGGACTTGTTCGATTGTCTTCAAGTCGGTTTTGGATGGAAAACAAACACAACTGCCGTACATGATAATGGGGACTATCATTGACTTGTACATGTTAAATTTATGATACCATGTCAAACTCGGAGAGCTGTTGCGCTTGATAGGTGAAAGCATAGTGTTTGCCTTTCTGCATGCTGTTGTAAAGTGAATGCTCCATTTGAGGTTGTTCGTGAGAATGACGCGCAAAGCTTTTTCTTGAGTGACACGGGAAAGTAGTTGACCCAGTATGTTAAGGCTTGTGTTGGAGCTTTTCTCCCAAACGAGATGAGGTGGCAGTTGTCATAATTGAATATGTGACCAGTGTTTGCCGATAAATATGCGTCCGTGGCCGAGAGAGCAGGGCGTGAGGCTCCAAATCTCGAAGTCGCTGGTTCGAATCGGAAAAGTAGTAAAGTTTTTTTTTTAATTCGAAGCTTAATTCTTCTTTTTTTATTTAACTTTTGAAAGCTTCTTTTTTTGTCGTTTTCTCGCGATTGTTTGCGAAGCACAGCTGCGCCTCAATGTTCAAATATTTAAACAGGTTCAATTTATCTTATACAGACTAAGTCAACTTATGTTGCGTTATTTCGAAGGCAAAATATATCAATATGCGATAATGTTTCAATTTGTATGGGTCGTAAAAAAATTTGAAACCTGTGAATTTTTTTTACATTGGTGTTTTCGGCTCAACAATGGTGCCACCTTTTTCTGCTTCGCGTTGGTAATTTATTAGCATTTGTAGCTGCTCTATATTATTATTATTGTTATTATTATCTATATCTACCTATCTATCTATACTATATTTAAATGCTAGTGACAGCTATCTCCCATGTTTAAGCATAATAATTTTGCATGTTTAACGAAAGAATTTTTTCATCTCTAAGCTATGTCATATATTGCAATGCTTAAGAAATTTTTTCAATTGGTTTTCAGCTAGGTAATTAATTTTCAGTAATTTTTTTTCGAGGCCACATTAAGTCTGTCTGTATAACTGCTTTTTTATTTAATTTGATTGTCTGTCTACCCGTCTACTAATTTTTTTTACTTTCAATTTGGTTTCGACGATTCAGTTTAAAATAATACTACTGTTCAACGGTTTTCTCTAATCTTTTTTCTCTTTATCTGGCTCCAAACTTGCCTCCAATTATAACTGCTCAATTTTTTGTAGTTTTCTAGATATGACATTTTTTGTGATTTTAAAATATTAATTTTTTTTGAAAATCTTTACCCTGTATCTGGTTGATGTCGGGGTACTCTCAGGAGTTGCGAATCTTGCCTCCAAATATGACTGCTCAAATCCTTTTAGCTTTCGAGATATGACGTTTTTTGTGATTTTTCAAAATAAAATTTCAAAAAAAATTAAATCAATTTTTCTTCAAAATATGAAAAATCGCAACCCTGTAGTTGGGCGCTATCAGAGTTTTTTCAGGGGGTTGCGAACCTTGCCTCCAATTATGACTGCTCAAGTTGCTGTAGATTTCGAGATATGACGTTTTTTGTGATTTTTTCAAAACAATTTTAAAATATTTAAAATAATTTTTTTTTCAGAATTTGAAATTCTTCACCCTGTATCTGGGTGCTGTCATGGTACTCTCAGAAGTTGGGAATTTTGCTCCAAATCTGACTGCTCAAACTCTTTTATTTTTCGAGATATGACGTTTTTTTTGTGATTTTTCAAAAAAGTTTTCAAAAGAAGTTTAAATAATTTTTTTCTTCAAAATTTGAAAATTGGCAAACCTGTAGTTGGGGGCTATCAGAGTACTTTCAGGGGTTGCGAACCTTGCCTCCAATTTTGACTGCTCAAGTTGGTGTAGTTTTCGAGATATGACGTTTTTTGTGATTTTTTCAAAACAATTTTCAAAAACAAATTTATTTTTTTTTTTAAATTTTAAATTCTGTAAGCTGTAGTTGGGTGCTGTCAGGGTAATCTCAGGAGTTGCAAATCTTGACTTCAAATTTTACTGCTCAATTGCTTTTAGTTTTGTCGTATGACGTTTTTTGTGATGTTTTCAGAAAACCCAAACAAACTTTTTTTTTAAAACAATTGAAATTCCCAACCCTGTAGTTGGATGCTTTTGGGGTACTCCCAGGGGTTGCGAATCTTGCCTCCAAATATGACTGCTCAAATTCTTGTAGTTTTTAAGATATGACGTTTTTTGTGATTTTTCAAAAAAGTTTCAGAAAACCCAAATAATTTTTTTTTCAGAATTTGAAATTCGCAACCCTGTTTTTGTGGGG